CTGATATCACGCCAAATTTTGACATCATCTGCAAATAGTAAGAAATTCGACTGCAGTACACTGGCAAGATCGTTACTGAATGTTAGGAATAAACGTGGCCCCAGTACCGATCTTTGAGGCACGCCACACTGGACGTCAATTGGGTCGGAAATGGAGCTGCGGACTCTCACATTCAGCTGACGTTGAGCGAGGAAGTTGCCGATCTAACCGAGTATAGGGTCAACGATTCCATAGCTTCGAAGCTTGTGAAGGAGAATGCGGTGGTCCAAACGATCGAACGCTTTCGAGAAGTCCAGGTAGACAACGTCGACTCCCAGTGGCATCGGCTAACTCTATCGATCTTGCTAGGGCTAGCCGCAAGTTTGTCGCGCAGGATCGATTTCGGCGGAATCCGTGTTGCTGTGACACTAGGATGTTGTTGCTCTCAAGATATCCTATGAGCGACTAGGCAATAATACGTTCCATTACTTTGGATAAAACTGGGAGGAGAGTGATTGGACAGTTGTTCGAGGGCTCCACACGATTACTACTTTTATGAATAGGAGTGAATAATCCATGTTGCCACATTGTGAGAACCTGCATTTCGTCGAAACAACGTTAAAAAGAACTGATCTAATGTTTCGTCAAGGTTCATGGCCGCTGTCTTCAATGCCTTCGGTTTGATGTCGTCCACGCCGGGTGAGCTGTACATGCGCAATGACATTAGCGTTTTCATCACATTGGCTTCCGTGAACGATACGTGGTTTAACCCTGGTGGCGATAGAAGCTGTGTCAAAAGCGGACTAAATGATGGTACCCTCCAGAAATTTTGGATAAAGTGTTGGCGAAGCACGCTGGCTGCATCTTGTGCGGATTGTGCAAGACCATCTGTTGCACGTAAAACCGGGATCCCGCGCTGCACACTGCGGAGCTTGTTGACGTGTCTCTACAGCAACTCGGGATTTGTACTGAATTTCACCGCTAAGTTCTGTTGATGCTGGAATTTGTCTTCGCGGATCAAATTGACGCAGTGGTTTCTTGCTGTTTTCTAAGCACCCCAGGTCAGGTTCCTTGGACAGACTATGTAAGCGCGCCAGGCGGAATACCTCAAGGCCGTGCATTTTTTTAGTACTGCTCCTCAGGAACGAATTCACTTGCTTCGGGCGAAGGACCTTGCTTCCTGACGCCTTTGCCACTAGCTCAGCGTACTGCGTGACGAACAAGATCCAGGCGACATTGGGCGGCTTCTCGGCCAGGAAGGAGCAGTCGGTTTCTTGAACGAGATTACACAGGATATCGTTGTGTGCAACGACATCGGTTTCCACGTTGTTCTCACTGATGTACGCCGAGAAACAGGTGTCACGAAAGAGCAACATCGCATGATCGCTACAGTCAATTGATGCATCTATGGTCGCAGTGTTGACAAGTAGTTCCTTGTTGGAGAGCACAAGACCCTAAACAGAGGGCGTGTCACCCGTTTGGCATCGCTTGGGAGAGGTGACACGGTTGTACAGAGATACTTCGGTGATCACCTCTTGCAAATCCGCCTTGAATTGTTCGCTGGCCGGTGCTGAAACTTCGATTGCGTGCAGGGTGAAGTCCCCCACCAGAAGGACGTGACTGTATGGTCCTGCCAGGACTCGTTTCATCGCAGAAGCTAGGCATTGATCCATTTCCAAGGTGGACATGGGAGGATGGTAAGCTAGTGCTAGTAAACAGACATCACCACGTCATAAGTGCATACAACACCAAAGAGAGTCGACGACTTGCGTTTCTGGGCCCTCAATGACATCAACATGCAGGTCGGTTCGATAATACAGGAGCACTCCCCAGCCTCTGCTAAGTCCGTCGTTTCGTATGGAATTAATGCCGGGGAGTGCAATCTCAGCATCAGTGACCTCCGTGTTCAGCCATGTTTCAGTGACCAAAACTAGGTCCCAAGACGTGGAGACCTGACGCACAGGAAGTTCGGTTAGCTTTCTGAGAAGATCTTGTGAATTGGTATACATGCAGGTGAGGGCATCGGTGGTCAGAAGTGTGTTGGTGAATGTTGGTTTCCGGTGAGGATATATGCTGACCCTTGCGGGGTCGACTGCCAGTCGTCTCTTTTGTAGATACGATGACGCAAGACCTAGGGCCAGTTCAGGTTGTTATATAGAGCGCTCAGCGCCAACAAGAAGATGATCATTCTGTCATCCTTCAGCTGCCGGTGTGTTTTGGTATTGTTTCCGTTCTGAGTTACAAGCTGACAGAATTGTATTGGTATGTTGCTTGCTCAGTGTTACAATATCTATCTGTGGCCCGGTGTTTATCACCTTTATACGTATTTCGGATGGCAGCATTTTACGCATTTTGCAACATTTTGATCAAAATTTCTACCATCAGTTCGGAGTGCAATGCTACTTTCATTACTCGGGGACCACACCCTCTGGAGTTAGGTGATAGCGGTAACCTTGATGTCGAATTAACGATAACATTATCGAATAAGAGCCCTTTACGAATAAAACGCCATTCATCGCAGCCATGCACTTTGGCCTCCAGCTCGCTTAGTGACTGGAGCTCGGGGACACCGTGAACAAGGATAGATTTTGCATTTTGTTGTTTAGATTAGTCATCCGGATTTTGTTTGCGTTTCTGACGTTTGCTCCAATGAACATTTGGTAAAATTCGAACGGTGCATGATGTGGTACCGAGGCAAGTGGCTGACAAGAGAACTGCTTCTGCATCATTATCTGTCTGACGTGTTACCTGAAGTAACCGCGGTTCACCGTAGTGTACGGAGTTTTGGTGACGGACGAGACGCATCATATTGACTGGTTTAGCTTGAACCCCTATTAATTTACACAGGGAGTCCCACTGTATTTTCCTTGTCGAGTATCTTATCTTTGCAGGAGTTCGCCTCGGATTCAGTCATATTAGAGCACATAACCGTCAAAGAATTATGCTAATGTTTCATGTTCTCCTTTTAGGAGGGACCAGTGGCTGCTTTCTTCGGTTGGACAAATGATGGGGTCTTGAGTCCCGTGGTGGTATTGGTAGTAGTAACTCGTTTGACAGCGGACGGGGTTACGATAGGAGGTGCCTCCGTCATATGGGTAGCAACAACGGACGTGGATTTTGTCGGGCCCTTAACAGTGTTCAGTGTGCCTGGTGCTTTTGTCGAAGAATGTGTGGCGAACGCGTCTTTATGAGCAGCCGCTACTGTTGGGGTGGCTAACTCTGGATCGTTACTCTTACACTGTGCTGAATTGGAGCTTGATGTTGAGCGTCGAATTCGAGGCACGGATTTGTCTGGTTCGTGTGGGACAGCTTTCACGGCTGTTGCTTACTCTACAATCTTTATCAGCCTATCGTACTTCTGCGCTAATCCAGTTATACATCTGACGAGTGGAAGAGACGTACACTCCGTGCAGAACCGAAAGGAATCGATCGTACTATTAAGTTTTTTCTCTGGTTGAGCCTAAGGCGAGCACATCGAGAATGAAAGTATTTTCGGCAGTTTCCGCATTTTATTCCAAATCGCACAAGCTTTACATAGCTGCCTACACTACAACTAACGTTAATTTCGGAAGCTTTGGGCTTAGCTTTCCGTGAGCAAGCAGTACGTGCCACTGTGACTGACAGATCTGCGGAAGTTGTTCATTGCAACTTCTATACTGGCATGCTGCATCCAAACGTTGTCGGTCAAACTGTTGGTCTGGCAGACTCCGGTTAGTTAGATGGCGGACACAGACGGTATTTAGGCCAATCAGTGAGATCTCCGATACTAGCCTGAGAATATCCACCAAATTCGCACGGATGGAAAAATACACCAAAAGCAAAGTATTGGTGTACAATTCACACCGAGAAAATAAGTATAAACAGTATTCCCAAAGAAAAATAGTATCCAGCATGGTAAAGAACAAATCCGCGGCGTCCGTAGATACAAGCCCTGTCGAGATCACCCTGAAGCGCTATCTGGTCACCTGCTATTCTCATTGCCCTCCAAATCATGTCATTCGCGAAAGAATAGAAGTGCGACGTCAACCCTCCCTCGAAGTCGTTTATGAACGTAAGGAACAACCTTGGTTCTAGTACCGAGGCTTGTGGGACGCCACAATGAACCTCTATTGGGTCGGACGGTGTGTTAAAAACCTGCACCTTCAAGCGTCGTTAGAGTGGGAATGAATCATTCCAGCCTAAGATAGGGTCACCGATCCTGTTACTCCAATTCTCGTGAAGAAGAATTTGGGTGATTAAGACGATTAAATGCCTTTGAGAAATCAAGGTAACCGACATCGACTTTTCTTTCTAGCATCGACGGATGTTGCTCAGCTAGCGCGGACTAAAAAACGGTTTATGGCACATGCGCGGCTTTGGCGGAATCCATGCTGCTCTTGCACGATGATATGGCACCTTTCTAAATATCCCATAAGTGCATCTGCAACGGCAAGTTCCATAACGTTGGAAAGTACAGGAAGAATAGTAATCGGATGGTGGTTTGCGGACACAGCATTATTGCCTCCTTTGTAAGTGGGAGTGACTATACCATGCTTCCACATTGTTGGGACCAGCGTCTCGTCACAAGAGCGTTGTAGAAACTGACATAATGGTTCAACCAAGCTCGTAGCAGCTATCATCAATAAATTAGTGCTATGCTATCGGGACCAGTGAGCTGTACTCGCGTAAAGACATCAGTCGCTTCAGCACATCGGCGGCTGTGAAAAAAGATGGCTAAGTGCTGGTGATTATGTGATATGTGTGAGTATGAGTAGGTGTGAGTATGAGTTTATCTTATAGCTCAATATTATTATTATTATTATTATTATTATTATTTAGTATTCACGGAGGGATATGTGGCGGTACCGACCGGTGTTACCTCACTCTTTATCCACTGGATTCTTTAAAGCTTTGTTTAAGACACTTATGGTTCTCAGTTTGTTAGACGTGTGATGTTGACGGATTGCGCACAATCTGTATAGCTTTCAAACACTTTTAGTTGTCCATTGCACACTTCCTTCTTTTCCATTTTCTGTTGCAAGATAATTTGGAGGAGTTCATCGTTTTATCTGAAGGCGAGGTAAGTCATCTGATGTATATAGGCTTCAGCGTTATTTCTTTCTCGTCTATACACCTAGGCCAAATGCTTTGAAGGTTGGACTATTCAAGTCATTTGGATCCAAATGTTACAGTGGAAAATGCGGCGTGTTAAATGACTCACCCAACTAACGCACCGTCTGAATAGTGAAAATTTAAAACATATGACAGAATAGTAGTTGCTGATGAGCCATGTTTCTCCAAGCGCATTTACAGACAATTGAATACCATAGACATGCAAACAAGTGATCAGGTACTTTGGTGAATGATACAAAGTAAAACAAACAACTTTGGGTGCTCAACCCATATTTTGACGTTAAGTAAACGGAAGATTAAGGAAGTTAGTCTAGATGAACATGATGTTATATCACTTGGCTGTTCGATATATGATTTGAATGGTTAGGTGAAATGGAAGCCACAATTATGCTAACACGACTAACTAGAAGTTAACTTCTGGTACTAAGTGACTCCTAAATTGCCAGTAGTTTAATCGTATCATAAGGAACTCCGAATTCCCACCGATAACCTATTACCACTAAACAGTGCTGCTGTGCTCATTTTCTACGGTTGCCATTGAGAAAAATATGGTAACTGAGAATAAATTGGTAAAATAAAATAGGGAATCTTCCTGTTAGTGTGCGGATCACCGACGGTCGACTTGGGTCACTAGATTTTCCAACTGATTCTTAGGCTTCATCCAATGTTATTAACGTTCTATCTTGTTGTTGCCACAAGGTTGTACTTAAATGAACCTTGTTAGGAAAATCACCTCCTAAGGAATGTATCACTGAACCCAAAATGAACTAAATCCCAACCCATGTTCCAACAATTCAGTAGAATCGTTTCACTGGTCGATCAAAAGAACGCTCTCGCACAATCTAATACTATTATTGGTAATTAAGGAACAGAACAGAACGGCGAATGTTCATGAAGGTCAGCAAGAACACATACACATATCTAATACGCAGTGCATCATTCGGAGATGCACTAGAAAGCGACGATACAATGGGGTGCACAGCCCCGGTTTCCTGCTTCGGTCTTCATAAGACATATCCCATCAACGCTCGCATTGTTAGATGTTGCACCGTTTTGACGCCGAACGAGAGCGCGACACGGGATCATGGTAAGCCTGCGACACACCGCCCACCCACCTCCCAGTCGATACAAACGCGATGGAATAAGACCCAGTGAGGTACGTATGAGATCCACGATCATTTTGGGTTCAATGCAAATGCTTTTCGCGCGTGTGTTATCGGTAGCCATATTAGGCACTGAACCGTTGATCATTGCATAATGATGCCCAGCGCAGGTAAACCGCCCGTACCCCATGGGGATGCACAGAATTTGAAAGTATCTTATTTCTACGGGATCGGCGCCTACTAGCAAACCAAGGACATAAAAATTAAGTGGAGTATGCACATTAGAAACGCCCAAGGTGGGTCAATTTTGGAGCACACGGTGTGATTGGATTGCAACGCGTAATCCCAATGTGGACCGCGATTCACATGTAAATAACGTCGGAACGCGGCGTCGTTGTGCAATGTTTTCGGGCGGGTAATACCCAATTTCTATCTGCCCAAGTAGGTGGTTTGGCGCAACCTGCCCCTAATAGAAGCGTTATTGAATTCGGAGAAAACACGAAGACATTACGCACATTCCTCTATTGACCAGTAGTAAGATCCTGAAATTAATGGTCGAGGCGGTATCACTGAGCAGAAGAATGTGCTATTTTAACCGAGAACGTTCATCAGGGCTACCACAAGCGTGATAGATAGTGTGCTATGGTTGTCAAGGTCGTAGCGGGAGGATCTGCTTGACTGTTATAAACCTGAACACTCCGACTGGCCGAACAAGAATGCAAGGGTTGGGGCACTAGTTTAATCACCACAAAGCACGAGGTACTTGCATGGCACAGACTACTAATATGTATGTGATCTTGTGGACCTGCTTGAATATTTATCTTTCTCATCTGCTCTTTACTTACCAATAATAGTAAGAAATTGTGCGAGAGCATTTGTTTGGTCGACCAATGCGACGATTCTACTGGATTTTTGGAACAAGGGTTGGAATTTGGTCCATTTCGGGTTCAGCAGTTCATTCCTTAGGAGGCGCTTTTCTTAAGATGGTTCATTTAAGTACCATCCAGTGGCAGCAGTAAGATAGAATGTATAACACATAGCTGGTTCCATACAATTCTGCGTCCTTGGTAATGACTATAACTTTGGTCGCTAAGCTGATCGATGCAATTCCATCTCGTAGATAGCGCTGTCACAATGAAGCAAGAAATCGGGTGGTAAAGTAATCGCAAGGCCCGACAAGGTTTGCGTAATTAGCGAGCACAGAATGCATACAAATTTAACATTTTCAAGTCTCCCCATTACAGAAGCTAGCTGGGAACGCGTGGGAAACTGGTGTGATCATTGAAAACCATCGAATTATGCATAAGCTGCGGGTATGACAGAGATTATTGATTTCACATGTAAGCGATGGAACCTACATGCAGTACATTAAGTTCCATTTCGTGTTGTTGGCTGAACCATTGTGAATTTGGTGGTGAATGCCTCTGTAAGTGCAAATCGAGGTTGGATTATTGGAGAAAATACAACAATTCTTCCATGTAGATCAAAAGATGTGAAAGCACTGCAAGTCGGACGCAGGTCAAAAATTCCGAGGCTGGGACTAGCAAGGCATGCTGTTTGTTGTGACGCAATTCGTCTTCGAACGTTAAAGCGAGACCTCACCTGCTAGCCATTCAGCTGGACAGACTGAGTGTACTGTCTGTATAAACTTCGTTAACATATGTACATTCAGTGGAATTAGATCGAAACATGGTCGCGCAGATAAGCTATGCTGTGTCCAGTCCTGCATACTGACCTCTGTTGACCAAACTACAGGGATTAGGTTCCCATGGCCATATCTATGCTCAGAGAGGATTATGAACGTAAACTACGGAAAACTGCTAGCAGTTTATATTAACGAAGCAGTAAAATGAATAAAACAATAAGTTGGGTATACATAAACCTCGGTATTAGGTGAATATTTATGATCCAGCTCGTTCGGAACTAGCCCAAACTGCTTTGGTTAAGACGCAGCAGTGACGTGCAGTTTGAGCAACCCGGAGTCAGCGAAGTAATGTGCACCACAAGTTTTTTTGAAGTCTTAGTGGATGTGTAGTGTGAGCATATATCGTCGTGATTCTTATGTCACCTTGCTTTCTCCTCTTTTCTACAGCGCATGAATTTCGACATGAAAGCACCACAGGTAAGCGGTAAGATTTTAGGTGTTCAGACTAACACCTATTGGAATAGTTGATATTTTAACCATCTATACACCCTTTAAGTGTAGTTAAAATGCTCGTGCTGAACCTGACATTTCAAATACACATCCAATGTTTCGCTCGCGGACTTATACATTGTTCGCACTGATACTGAACTAATGGAATCCTAAGACAGATAGTCAGTATCAGTTCACTAAAAACACTCTTCTCTCTAAGACCTATTATGGCACCCTTAATGGTCAAAGGTTATATCCGCACAATCAAGCAACCAACAAGGTTGGCAAGCACTAGGCGAGACAAACGTTTATTACCCAAACTTCCAATCTAGCTAAGTTGACCGGCATCCAAGAAAAGTTGTCTAGGAGTGTAAAATAAAGAATATTCAAGCAGCGTCAGAGGCATCGCTCGGGCCACTCTCCAGATGTGCTTGTATATAAACAAATGTAATCAATATTTAGCGAGAGCCCGGATAGTGATTCCCGAAGACAGATCTGGTTGCAGGGAAACTTTTATATGTACAGCAAAAAATTCCTTGTTTGCCTCACTATAAAATGACGACACCGTCAACGCTGCTAGATAAGGGGAACGAAGAAGAGCGGTACACAGGAGTGCTTGCACATTGCAATCGAAAAGACGGCCAAACAAAGGTGTTGCTCGACTCAAGCAATCAAACTCAATAGCCAGTTCAACAATCAGCGCCGGTCGTCTAAGTGCACAATGAAATAATAATTTTGTTCGATTTTTGCACAGGCAAGACGGAGGAATTTCCAGGCTGCTCCAAATTTGCGATAAACAAGCTGCCTAATTTTTCTGGGTACATAATGGGACTTATTTGTAGTATTTTACACATCATACAACAATCGTACGGGGCGAGCTCCAGGTCGCTATACTGTTATGTCGCCATCGTTTTTTGAATCAGCAGAAGGCTTCTGGAGTGTGCACACCATGGATCCAGCCTTCGGAGAAACCCAACTTGAATTGGAGATGCTAGGGTGAGTAAGATGCTCGAATTCAATGAGCACCCTTCATCGCTATTGAAGGACAGAGTCAACTTGTTGACTAATTGTCTAGTCCTTGGATTCGGCACAATACGGGATCCAAAGAATCTAGTGCCGCAATTATTGAACAAATAGCATTTTAAGGAAATTGCATACGATAGCATCGGAGGAACTAGAGGTTAAATCTGTACAACTCTATCGAAAAGCGATCTTTCATTTGTAAATATGCTAATTATTTTCAGATTCTCATATAATATAGCAAAATGTGTGACTTGCAGTAATATGACACGCACTAATGTGGAAAGGCAGTGTCGACGTGGAAAGGTTCTTTGAACGCAACACTCGTACAATGTGTGTCGAGAAGTGTTTGAACTGTTGCACCGATAGTGTTTCGAGTACAAGTTACGACGGAGTTAACAAGCGTTGAACATCCGCCATTCGGAGCACAGAAGGTGAGCAAATCGCTTCGGACTCAGTACTACAGACTTATACCCGTGTCCACCTGCATCGTATGGTGGAACACCGACCTCAGTATGGGAAATTCACCGAGATGTAAAATATGGTAGATCATGATGTGATCGACTCACATCCGACGGCAGGACAGGATATGCAGTCCTACTAGGTCACACTATTCTTCATAAGGTAAACCCCGTGAATTTGGTATGAACCTGGTGGTGACACGTCGGATATGTCCGCTCATATGTACCTCGCTCCGATACATCGGAGTGTAGGTGACCGAACCTAACTGTACCATTGGTCTTATGATTGTTGACAGGAGCCAAGCGTCGTCTTCGTCAGACAGAGCGCATCGATTGCATTTAGCCCCAACGTGCTGCATACTGGGACGGACGGGTCCCTGGGAAGTGGAGCTATTGCACAATAGGCAGTGTTCATCTATGTACTCTGCTTATGGCGCTGGAGCGGCAGCGTTCGTAAAAATGGTGGATGGCAGTTGTCTTGAGCTTCAAGGCTTCCTTTAGTTCAGCGGATTGCAGTCTTGTGCTTAGGACTATCTTAGAAAGGCGTACAAGAAAAATACCGTGCAAGGATAAAGTCGCGATACAGACTCTCAGAACGCCTTATGGGTCTCATAGAAGCTATCGTTTGAGTCACCTTGAACATTTGGGTAAAGCACGCTCCTTTCCAAAAGTTTCTGGTAGAAATTATGAAGGATGTCTGTCCTCACCGTATCTGAAGACTGTTATTTTTGTTGGGCGGTTAACTAAAAAATTAAGAAGTGTGGACGCCATGATTCTCTGTGCATCAAGCCCAATTCCCATGTAAGCTTGTCGGGACAGACCCAACACAAAGCGATAAGCACGATCGTGGTCACTTCATACCTTTGAAATGGCACGTACTGATGTAACTTCTCACCAACACGCCATCGGATCATATTATCCCCGAAAAGCAATCGTTTAGATAGTTCTATAATTATGGCGATTGCAGAGTTAATAAGTTACTACCTAGATCAGCAAAGCCAGTGTCATCTCTTAAATGTCCAAGCAAGTAGTGAAATACGGGAAATCACCTTGTCGAGTGTTTGACGATGCACAGCTCTGCCATGTGGTTTGCCATAATGTGTATCCGAGACTTAGCCATTGCTCACCGAAAGCACCTGATGACTCAAGACGCATGGCCCGTCGGTACACAGTACCGACGTTTCCCTGCCGCGCAACCAGCATCAGTCGCGCGTGGACTAAGTATATTACGAAGATCGCTCATTTCCTACGCAGGCTCAAACCTGCGCCTTGGGATTACAAGTCAGGCTTGTGACCCTTAAGGCTACGGGCCGGCATGCTGTTATCTATCAGTAAAGCCGTCGGAAGCTGTAGTACGAGCGCCTTCTCATCTTCGAGAGGTAACTATCTGTTTACGACTGTGTATTGTTGACTAATTACGATCATCTTGTCCTCGAGTGTCTACTTGAGGTGCTTGGATTTTGTGTCTGATCCATCTTCTCTTCCGCCTATTGATTCTCATTGCTAAGTTCCTCGTCCTTGTGTGACAGCGAAGCACCAGTTTACATGGCTGATGTGCTGGTGCTGGCAGTGGTACCCTGGACAGTAAGAGACGGGTGGTCTTTGAGCATTTGTATCTGCATAGAGTGAGTGAAGTTGTGGTTCACTTGTTGCTACTCACGGTTATACTTCTTTGCAGTGTTGAATCATTCGTTGCACAGGATCCATTTATTTTCACCAGGCTGTGTTCCTTAATAACCTTTCCAGCGCACATACCGACATGTACTATTCTCGAGCACAGCGCGTGCTTGGGTGAGGCCTAAGAATGGTCGGCCTATAGTATGTCTTAAATATATCAAGGACCTGGCTACGAGGCTTGGTCTAGATATAGTTCACTGGACCAACCACAACATAGTTAGGGAGTCTTTCCGAAGATGAGCAGTTGTCAAACTGGTGAAGCTCTTGCACACGTTGTCACTACACCTGACCGTTGTCTTGTTCACGTAACGAAAACCGTCCCTTTCCTAAGTTCTTTTCCGTTTGCTGTTTTCCTATTTTTATTTCCTGGAGGCTTTTGATGTAGTAGATAGGTCATCACTGTGGAAATGTCTGCTGCGGAATGGCGCTCTCAACAAGTTTGTCACACGCTTGAAAGAGCTGTATAGTCACATCTCTGGCAAAGTTACAGCTTATGGAAGGTTTTCTTCTTCCTTTCCTGTTACCAGTGGAGTACACCAAGGTTGTCTTATCTCGACGTTCCTGTTCCACTCTGACATCGAAGATGTCCTACAACGCGCACCGGAAGGAGCCCAGAGCTGCGGCGTTGAGTTTCTACCCGGGAGCAGAGTCGTGGACCTGGACTATGCTGATGACATCGCTTTGCTGGGGGAGGACTCGCAGATTGTTCAAAACGTTTTGAACCACCAAGAGCTAGAAGCATCTAACTACGGTCGGTATATTGCTCCATTCAAGGGTAAAGCAGTGCTCCAGAATTGGCAGGCTTCTGTGCCTACGTTCACCATTTCGGGTGTCAGCCTGGAGCCCCTTAACAGCTTTACTTGCCTCGGGAGTTGCATTACGGCTAGTGGCGGTATTGGAGATGCAATTTCCCAACAAATTGCCAATGCTCGCCTTGCATTTCCTAATGTGAGACACTTGGAGCATCTTCGCGATGTCAATCTCAAGCTCAAAGGTCGAGTATGCAATGCCACAGTTGATGCTGTCCAACTGTACGGCTGCCAGACCTGGCCTGTTCGATCGGAAGATTTGAGACGACTGTCTAGTTTCGACAAGGGCTGTTTGCGTTCGATCGCTCGCGTATACTGGCAGCATAATGTAAGCAATGCAGAAGTTAGAAGCAGAATCATGGGAGCAGACAGTCCTGGTCTCCAGAGCATAATCATCCAGCACCACTTGCGTTGGCTCGGTCACGTACTGCGCATGCCGGCCCACCGTCTTCCACGTCGCGCATTATTTGCACTTCCTGGACGCGAATAGAAAAACAGCCGCGACGCATAACCGATGACTTGGAAAAGGAGTATGCAGATGTTAACTTCTTGTCTAGCGTCAGTTGGATCCGTACATCTCCCAGACTGGGGACCACTGGGTATTCCCAGTGGGTGGAAGTCTTGGAGGATATGGCGCGCAATAGAAGTGAATGGCGTCAATTCTGTTCTATCATATCTTCATCCTGTACTTTTTAATGTTGAAGAAAACATGAGCACAAAAATACTCAAAACGGCTTGTGTGAAACTGAAAAATAACATTTTTCTACCGTTTTACTCTCTCTCTCTCTCTAGTCGTTGAACATTATATTCTCCTTTCCCTACCACCATGGTTCGGGTGGCACATTTGTCCGTTTACAGACTTGTGAATAAATAAATAGATTGCGCAAGCAGCCATGAATACTAGAGTACTTTGCGTCTATCAATGCATTATCTATCGGTGTACAGTAATTAAAACAAACAAACTACCAGCATGCCCGACCATTTTAGGCGAAGTACTAGTCTGAATGATTCTGGAAGGAATCTCCGCGAAATTTGTTTTGCTCCCATTTTTTATGGTAACTCACACGAGGTACTGCGATCCAACCCGGCATGCTGGTGACCTTGCAAATATTTCGTAGTTTGGTCGACTGCACATGTTTCTCAAAGCAATTATGATGGAAGTCACAATTTAGTGAAGTCTTTTGATAATACATGTATAACATTACTTTATTCACAAATGGTTATCGTCTTTTAGGACAAAACTGGGAAGCCTGAACCTCGATGCCTGCATTGGAGCGAAGACCGACTGGCAAACGAAGCAAAGGATTCAACATTGCCGGTTGACTTGGAGCAAAACAGATGCACACTACTCAGAAACGATGAATCAAACAAGAAGGATACTCAGTTAAAAGAAACTATGTGCGGTGCTGGAGCAGACTCAGAGGAAAATGTTGGCGATACGCCATAGCACTGGAGTTCCCAACGCATGGTTGTTAGAATGTTTTGAGCAATTGTTGTAAAGTTGGGATAGTGGAACAAGATGGCCACGTTGTAACCTAACGAGGGGAGAAGGCACAATGTTGTCCCATGATCTTCACCAACTTTGATTGCAATCTGTTAATGATCCGGTATATCAATATATACTTCAGCATAAACTCATTGTAATATTTACTCGCATGGAGCATTTCAGCCGTATATATTAAAGCATCACAAACACCAAAAGGTAATATGCATTCATGAATCGCAGTTGCGTTGACAAAGGACTGTAATTTCGACGCCTGGCTTTGACGAAAATTTGCAATACGAGGATGTTAGCCAATGTTTCCATCAGCTGCACAAGTGCAGTGCACAAGCGCGATGTAGAACAGACCAACAAGTACACGAGACCGAGATCACATTTATCGCCGCATATGTTAGGCATGGATGCGACATATATCATCATACAAGCTAGTAAGTTAGGCTGTTGAAAGAGCAAAATCACCTTTTATTCATGTAATTTAGTCCGCCTATGAACCCACATGCGCAGTGCTTGACTATCGTACGCATCATCGCTGGAAACTGTCATTTTCCTGGGACGTCAGTCAGTTTGACACCACGTGTAAGCACAGAGAAAACGTATGCGTTATGGGTGACACGGGTGCTTTCTGGACACGCACCTGAGCAGGTTGTCCCACAGGTGTTAATCCATGGCAGACAGGAATGAGAGTATTAATGCTTGAGGTCACAAGCAGCGCAGCAAGCTGAAGCTGGATAAACCTAGGATGAGGGGGTTGAGCTTTCTCCCTCTTCACCACTTGAACAGCATTTTGGCGGAAAGTGTTACCTTTGGTTCGCATTCTGACACGGCCGGTAGCTGAGGTTCATGTGCCAAATTTCCAGCGCTTGTCTTAGCAGACCGTTGCCTATCGGGAACGCAATACGCGATCGGTCCAACGGGCATAATACCAGTGGCACATTTAGGTCCCAGTTCAGTATTGCCTCTGGTCAAAGCAATATACCGCATGTGAACTAGCGCACGACGCCACTTCGACGGATGTGACGAGCGCAGCACACGAGCACCCTTGGCTTCAGGAAATTATGATAAGCTACATATAACGGTCCCGTGCAAGTACGGATAAGACCTTGGTGTCTTTTCTGCGGCTAGCACCCGTCGCTTTGCAAAACAATGGAGGATATGTACAATGAACACAGGTCTGGCACGGGGGATAAACCGAATGCCTAACAGGCCGCCTATGTTGGATGGGATGTGACTCGCAAAACAGTTAGGTGAAATTGCTACCATGGTAGCTCGTGCACAGACGCTACTGTAATCCGTTGATATAATATGAGGAAGAAGTTTGCTGCAAGACGCAGCTGCACGTTGGATGTCCGCAATAGCACACATAACTGGAACGCCACATTGGAAAGCATATCACGGTGACCATCTAATGACATTCTTCGATTCAGTGATGACTTTATCGTAGAATGATCTCCTTGTCTGCAGCAGCTCTGCTACCTGGCACTGGTCAACGTTTGGGTGCGCGAGGAAGCGGAATGCTCGGGAAGATTTTGCTTTCCTAATTGCCGTGTTTGTGCTCACTATTTTGGTAGCAACCTTTGTTTAGGTGTTTTTGGAAAGTATATCAGGATTTATTTACTCCGTGCTTGCATATTTCTGAAATCAATGCACCGCCAGTGAAATGGCGACTGTCAAACCACCGTGGGTTTTCTCTTAAACTCCTTCCACGGCATATACCACCTGCCAATGAATGACCTAAAACAAACAGCGCATGTGTGCACCAACTTTACCAGCACGTACTCTTACAACCTATTTCCATTTAGTTTATCATCTTAACGACTTTTAAGACGGTTACAAACGAGCTCCTTAATATATACATGTTTACATTTGTATATATATGCAATATATTGTACTTGAAGATCTCTTAGCAGGAACTCACGATGTCAGCCACGCGCACACATCCCAGTACTTTGTCTCGTAATATCAATGTCGCCGCCACAGTTACATCAAGTGGAAGACCGTAGTTATTGAAAATTTGATACGATAATCCGGTTGATCCATTATCAAACGAGTGGGCAAATTTTGATATATTCAAGTAATGTTAAAGCAAAAAAATAGTACTAGCTTCTTACCCTGGCATGATTAGCACTACAGTTTTCCTGAACTCTTTCAGTTTAAGGGCGCACTGACTGTAATTTAATTCGTTAAAGGTTGTAACGGGATCGCGAAACGCACTACGATCAAAGCACTAGAGGTCGCAAAGAACCTGTTGGGTGGCACCTGGTATACTAGTCGGTAATCAATGACACGTAAGAGCCGTGTCAAATACGGGAGAGTATAGAAGTTGCAAGCGACTGAACCCAACGTATATTGTGCACGCTACAAAAGTAGGAAGCGAATCAACCAGAGTAAGAAACGGTGCAGCAAGGTACTCACCAAAACGCTTTGTGTCAACGGAAGTACCATCAGCAAAACAAGTAGAGGGTAAAATTCAATGTTGCAAAATACTGAAGGAGCGTGTTTCCGGTACGCTACAAACCAAAGGCCCTGTCAAAGGGAAAGCTGGCGGAGCCGGGCCCAATGAAAAACAAATATCAACTGATGCTTCTGTCATAGGTATTCCACTGGTGCTCTGCACCAGCCTGGAAGTAACAAACGGTTCTCAAAATCGGACCATTCAAATCATCAAAAGTGTGGATATAACATCTGTATTACTTCCAGTGTCTCAACTACTAGCCTCATTAATTCGGCTATTGCATCACCCAACTAGGGAGCAAATCAGACTGCTATGAAATCTGCCATGTTTCTACATTTCACAGCGTTGCCGAAGCCAGAACGCAATGGCCGCAAATTAGTATCAGCGCACGAAGTCACCTCGGGTAATTCACGTAAATAGTTGAAAAGGGTAAACGCTGTTGCTCATTCACCGGCGTTCTCGCAGCTTTTTTCCATCATGTACACCGGGATTCGCGTCCTCTAATCCTGATATGGACTACCATTACAGCCAGATGCAGATATGTGTGCACGAGGTGACGTACCTTTCTGCCAACTTAAAAGCGACTCTATAATATTTTGTCGTCAGAAACCAGCAAGTTCCGAAAGTCTTGCCAGACGTTGAAAATGGCTCCGTACCCCATGCTTCCAATGTGTTTACAATTCTATTTGTAGGGTCATGGGCCGTAAACTGAGCTTGTGGTTAAAAACTTATAAGCCCAAAGGAAGTAAAACCTAAATACCCTATTAAAACGCAGGATCAACGTCCTTCCTACAACCTATAAACAAGGGCAGAACAATGGACACTGAAACCGTAACTGCTTACAATGGGCCTAAGATTTCAGTGAAGGCGGACGATCACTCAGTGTTGTCTTGTCACAGTCACACGTGGAATCCTCATGGCCAAAATAAATGGCTACATATCCAATGATGTTTTTATCTACCCGGGGAAATTTTCATCAGGACATATTGCACCAATTATATCACGATTATCCAAGTACATTATTCATAGGAGTCTACGGACCACAGCAGTCTAAATCTACAGCTCTAATTCCCTTACACTCTCCATATTTAAACAAATCGTACATTTGTCACAATCCCATGGAAGTAGTACAGTGTTCCTGTTTAGTACCCTCTATCGTAACAGTAAGATGTTGTTCCTTCACCAACGTATATACCTCTCCAAGACCCGAATTGTTATAATCACGGAATCATGGTTCCACGATCAAACGCATGTCCCAAAGCCATACTTTAGGATATAACAGCTACTCAAGCGGTCGTCGTAGTGGCAAGGGAGGGAGTTACATTATTTATATTGTTGAAACGATTCATTCGTCATCTTTAACTTAACCAAAGCTTGAAATGTTCGCTGCATCAGTATGGATTACCGCATGGATAATTAATTGCAACTTCTTCTGATGTGTCTACAATCCGCCATACTGTTGCATCATCAATATTTGACAAGTTACCGAAATAGTTGAATACAAGTGGATGCGCAATTTGAAGACGCCTACAAAATGCAAGAAATGCATTAGAACACCGCACCATACAAGGTGCTTGCAGATGCTTCTTGCATTTGCTCATAAAGTTGGGCTGAGCAGGCTGCATCTGCGACCAGGAATGGCAACATTGAACACTGAAAATGATATATTACAGGCAAAAAAGCGATTGCTTTAAAGTTTAGTAGGATGGTTGAAGTGAAAGTAAACGTGGGTGTAAATGGTCAATTTAAGCGTCTATCGATTCAGATGCCCATTATTCATATAAACATTTTAGAATGTGTACTGAATCGTTACTGTAGAGTAATATGGGAAGTAATATGGGGAAGGTATGTCTTAAGAGCAAAAGAAACGACAACGCTTACTCGTGCCCCGCTTTACTGACTGACGTAATTGAAGAATGCAGTTCTAGTATATCCGAACGATATTCCACAACAGCAGTGTGTAAGTAGTGAAGCACAAAAGCTGAGAATGAGCACCGTTTGTTCGCGTTTGGTTGACGCAAACATCTCTGATTATATAGCGTAATGTAAGTGGATAAGCGAATCATCCGGACCTTTTTTGAATACCGTTAGCATGGGGGAAGAGACAACCTATGTGGGAAGAGCGTTCCATTTTTGACACACACGAAGGGAAAAGAAATTCAGACGGCATTCCAACCGGCTTTATTGTGTGGCCAGCTTTAGCTGGTGTCCTCTGAGTGTGGTATTGTGATTCAGCTTTAGTAGGTGACGACAAGAATGGTTGGGATTCCACAGAATCATATAAGTATTTATCAAGCCACCATGCAGGCGTCGCTATTGTCCACTGTATACCCCCAGGGTTTTCAGCCTCAATCGGTAAGGGAGATGAAACATGCCCTTTACGTTCTTGGTCGCCGTTCGTTGTGGCAGTTCCAGAGCTGTAAGGTCTTGCTTTTGTCATGGCTGCCAGGCGTGGATGGCGTACTTAGAATGAGGCCGAATATAGGCGTTGAGC